CCTCAGTTCTCTTCCACCCCTGGGAGATGATTTGACAAGGAGAAAAAGAGAGAAACTGGTGGGTTTTGTGCAGAATTTCCTCCCCCTATCCTTGCTTACAGCCGTTGTGCTGGCTCTGAAAGCCCCTGGCTGTCTTTTGTGATTTCAACAAATCACCAGCACTTAAGCAAAGTGGGCAGAAAATTACAGGTTGTATTGCAAGTGAATGGAGAGGGAAGAGCACACTGGGGCCGAAAAGCAGAGGTTTGCTGGTATAATAGAGAAAGCAGGGTCTGACAGGCTGTGGAAGCCTGCAAAGCCATCAGGTATTAGTTAAATGCTTGGCGGGGTTCACGCTGCGAGGCATAATCGCAGTTCCTGAGCAGCAGCCATTTGATTGTCTCCATTATGTCCCCTCTGAAATGATTTGGGAGATGTTTTGCTCGGAGCTGTCAAGGTTAAGTCAAGGAAAACGCGCTGCCTCTGACATGAGGCTCCCGGGAGGCAAAAACCCTGGGCAGAACCTCTGGGGAGGAGGGTGGGATGGCTCTGCTTTCTGGAGCTCTTTCCTCCTGCTTTCCCTGTCCGAGGTTCCTCCTTGTCTCTGCTCCCTCTGTTTTTTCTGCAGCTGGGTCAGAGCTGCCTCAGGGATGGCGTTGTTTGGATTGTGTGCCCGCTGCGTGGAGGGATCTGTGCCGTCACCAACCCCATCCCACTGCGTCTGCCGTCCGCCCCTTGTCACTTCTGGGCTCCTTGGTTGGGTTTGGAGGGTGCGAAATGAGCAGGGGAGGGGTTGACAGAGGAGAAAACCCCACTGTGGGTGAGCCCATTATTGGCCAACAGAGCTGTGGGAGACTGCAATATCCTGAGCTGGGAGGGACCCTCAGGGATCATTGATCCCAGCCCCTGTCCCTGCCCAGCCACCCCAACAAGCCCACCCTGAGCACCCCTGGCAGCGCTGTCCAAACGCTCCTGCAGCTCTGGCAGCCTTGGGGCCGGGATGGTCCTGGTGCTGCCAGGGCCCTCTGTGTCCCAGGAGGAGCAGGACAAGCCCAGGAATAAATAAACCCTGTCCTTTGGGGACACGTGCAGAGGCAGGGCTGGAAATGTCCCCATCCCCACAGCCAAGCCCAGAGAGCCAGGAAGGACATGATGGAAATACAACATTGACTCATGGCTGGGCTGTTTGGATCTTAGAACTTGAGGGGAAAAAGGGATTTTGGAGCAGAAATACCTGACCCACAGCTGGTATGGGTGGGAGGCAGAGCTGTGCCCCTGGCTATTGTATTCTCAGGGAATGCCCCAACAAAGGCAGGAATGATGCATCTGACTCCATGTTCTCAGAAGAAGACTAACTTATTACTTTATAATACTATATGATATTAAATAATACTGCATACTATACTAAAGAATACAGAAAGGATACTTAGTGAATGCTAAAAAGATAATAATGAAAACTCATGACTCTCTCCAGAGTCTTGACACAGCTTGGCCGGAATTGGCCAGACAGTGAAAACAACTCACACCAGAACCCAATGGAACAATCACCTGTGGGTAAACAATCTCCAGCCACATTCCACATGAGCACAACACAGGAGAAGCAAATGAGATAAGAATTGTTTTCCTTTTTCTCTGAGGCTTCTCAGCTTCCCAGGAGAAAAATTCTGGGCAAAGAGATTTTTTCAGAGAATGTGAATGCCACACCTGGCTGCCCCTCGTCCCTGGCTGCCTGCGGGGACGTGGGGACAGCCACAGCCAGGCTGCCTGGGAAAGCAGCGCCCAGGGGATGGGGAATGGGAAAAAGATCCTCCGTGGAGGGGTTGATGGCTGCCGTAAATAGATCTGAGCAGCGCCGCCATCGATCGCTGCTGTGCGGAGCTGTAATTAGATTGAGCTGGGGGAGAGGGGAGCGGGGCTGCGTCAGCAGAAAGGGAAATTAATAAATAAACAAACCAGCACAGGAAATGGGGGATGTGGCCGCCAGCGGCAGCGCGGGCCAAAAATAACCCAAAATAGCAGGGGTGAGGAGCGGGATGTCACCTGTGCCTGGACAATGGCACTGCTTCCACTGCAGGAGCCCAGGCTTACCCTGGTGGTTTGTGTTTGCCTCGGAGCTCAGAGTTATTGATGGGAGACTGGGTTGTAATAATCTTTTTTCTCTGAGGCTTCTCAGCTTCCCAGGAGAAAAATTCTGGGCAAAGAGATTTTTTCAGAGAATGTGAATGCCACACCTGGCTGCCCCTCGTCCCTGGCTGCCTGCGGGGACGTGGGGACAGCCACAGCCAGGCTGCCTGGGAAAGCAGCGCCCAGGGGATGGGGAATGGGAAAAAGATCCTCCGTGGAGGGGTTGATGGCTGCCGTAAATAGATCTGAGCAGCGCCGCCATCGATCGCTGCTGTGCGGAGCTGTAATTAGATTGAGCTGGGGGAGAGGGGAGCGGGGCTGCGTCAGCAGAAAGGGAAATTAATAAATAAACAAACCAGCACAGGAAATGGGGGATGTGGCCGCCAGCGGCAGCGCGGGCCAAAAATAACCCAAAATAGCAGCGGTGAGGAGCGGGATGTCACCTGTGCCTGGACAATGGCACTGCTTCCACTGCAGGAGCCCAGGCTTACCCTGGTGGTTTGTGTTTGCCTCGGAGCTCAGAGTTATTGATGGGAGACTGTAATAATCACTGCTAAAAAAGGAATGGAGGTTGGAAAGCTGAGAGGCTGCACCTTGGGCTGGATGTCCAGCACGGTGTGGGAATGGGTGCCAGCAGAAAGGAGAGCAAGAGGACGGACTGGATTGCCAGGGTGACAGCTGGATCACACCCACGGGTCCTGTGGGGATGTGGGAGACACTCCAAAGGCCATCCTGCAGGGCAAAAGCTCCATGAGTGGAGTGTGAGGAGCCCACCCTGGACACAGGAGGAACTGAGCATGCTGGGGTTGCTGGGAGGGCTTGGGGAGGGTGGGCTCGGGGCACAAGTGTGGGGGGAGTGTTTCTGTTTGTTGTTTGGCTTGGGGGGACTTTGGGTGGGTTCTTTTTTAAAATTCATGTCTGGGGGAAAAAAAAGTCAAATTTTCTATAAAGGCTTTTTTTTTTGTTTGTTCTTTTTGCAAGCATCTGATGGTCATAGGGTAGGTTTCCACATTCTCTGCTGGCTGTTTGAGTAAGGTACCCCTGGGACAGGGTCCCCTGGCATCACTCAGAGTGTCCCTTTGTCCCTAAGGATGGTGGTGTGCATCCAAACCTGCCTGGGGGAGGGGGAAGGGGAGGGGAAGGTTGTCCCCTGGCTTTACCAAGGCTGGCTGGTTTGGACTCAGAGTGGTTGGTGGTGTCCAGCTTGGTGCCTCCCATCCCCTGCCCAGTGGGAGCAGAGCTGGTGGCTCCCAGCACAGCATGGGGTCCAGGCCAGGGCTGAGCCCAGCAGCTGGGACACAGAGCTCAATCTGCTGCATTAATTGTCTCCTTCAGTGAGCTCCAGATTTCCCCAGCTCTGGGTGGAAGGGGTGGATCTCATCCTTCTCTCTCAGTTCGAGGTGATGTGAAGAGGGCTTGTAGTGGAGGCAGCTGAGGAACTACAGGAGGAGGAGGTTGCTTATTTTCTAGTGAGGAAGAAATTACTCCAAACAGCCTCCCAGTACTCCTGAGTTACACATTGCCTCCCCTGTGGCTGTGGAGGTGTGTTTGGAGAGCAGGGACGGGTTTAGCCCAAGGGAAATACCTGTCCTTTGCCCTGCAGCATCTTGGCCCCTCTGAGATCTGTGCTTGGAGCTTGGAACTTGCTTTGAGCCCTCCAGGCCAAAGAGGCTCCTGCAAGTGCCAAGCTGAAATCTGCCACCCAGACAGCAAATGTCTCAAGGGACCCTGCAAAATCCTTCAGAAAATCTGAACCAAGAAAGCCCAAAGGTGAAAACTGCTGCTGCCCCGGGCAAGAGCGGGACTGCTTTGGGAAGTCTTCAGCCCACAGTTTGCTCTCTCTTTTCTCAGCTTCCCAGGAGGAAATACTTTGTCCCCAGCCCTGTAGGGCCAGGTCCATGCCCTGCCGTGTCTGTGGCATCTCAGGTCCCTGCAGTTCTGTGTCTGGTTGAGTCCCTGAGCACCCAGATCAAACCTCAACAGCTTCAGGGTCAGCCCTGCTCTGAGCAGGGACTGGATCAGCCACCTCCACCATTTTACAGTTTTCTAAGAAAATATCATAGCAAAGGTCCCCTTGTCCCACCCCTTCCACCAGCAGTGTGCTTGATATCCCCACAATTAACGTTCATATATTTATCTATTTTACTCACTTTCCCCTCTGCCCTCATGCAGTGTGCTGGGGTCAGGGGGGCTTTCCTGGCTTCCCCCCTGGCAGCCCCTCTGTGCTGACCTTTGCCTCCAGCCAAACCTGTAGGGAAGGCTTTTAATTCAATGCTGACAAATGTGCCAGAGTATCCGATAGCAAAGGCACACAGGGGAGACAGAATTTCCCGGAGCCTCCAGTGGCTCAGGCAGGAAAACCCCTTCCCAGAGAGGTGGATCCATGGTGGGTCCTTCCAAACTGTGGGATTAAGGCTGCAGAGCGACCCTTCCATAATGTCCCTGTCCCCTGCATTTCCGAGCTGGCAGCTGGATGTGGTGGCCAGGAGACACCGGTTCCCTGAGTCCTCCAGGGACATCCACAGGGGTGATGAGGAGTGAGACCATGCTGAGGGAGGCCCAAGGGTAACCCCCAGAATTTAGGGCTGAATCCCAATAGCCAGTCTCTGGGAACAGAGCAATCCAGGGCTTTCCTCAGTCTCTAGTCCCAGGGTCAGCTGGAGATGCTGAGACTTTCCCTGGGCTTCCCCCAGGCTTTTGTCACCCTGGTGTCACAAGAGGCCATTGTCCCTTCTCAGGAGGCGCAGGGAGGAAGAGGAGGGAGCAGTGGGACACGAGCCAGCGAGTTTCCTGGCGGGAAGGGCCTGGATTTTGGGAGGCAGCCGGGCAACCTGCAAGCGGGCCAGGGTGGGGAAGCCCAAATTAACAGCCCTGTTCTCTCTTTTGAACATCTCCAGCTTGCAAACGCAAGGAGCAGGAGCAGCAGAAGGACCGGAGCCTGCAGCCCAAGAAGCAGCGCCTGGTCTTCACGGACCTGCAGCGCCGCACCCTGATCGCCATCTTCAAGGAGAACAAGCGCCCGTCCAAGGAGATGCAGATGACCATCTCCCAGCAGCTGGGCCTGGAGCTCACCACCGTCAGCAACTTCTTCATGAACGCCCGCCGGCGCTGCATGAACCGCTGGCAGGAGGAGCCAGGCGCCAACCCCGGGGTCCCCTCGTCGTCTACAAGCACTTTCTCCAAAGCATGATGTCCCCCAGCCCCCGCCTGCCCCTTCCTGGATGTCCCCCTCATGACAAAGCCAACCCCAGACTCACACGCATGGCCTGGCGGGGGTGGGTGCTTTTGGGGTGGGTCTGTCAGCCTCCCAAACCCTCAGCTGGGTGTCACCCATGGACGTGGGCCTCGGGCCACCTCCTGCTGCCATCTCCTGCTGCCACCTCCTGCTGCCACCTCCTGCCAGCGTGTGGAGCAGGGACAGGGTTTGTGGCCAGGTCAGCTCCGTCCCCAGGAGGGCTCAGAGGAAGCCCGTGGGTTGTGTGGGATGGAGGGAGGAGCAGGGCTCTGTTTGGAAGGAAGTGTCCCCGGTCCCTGGGGATCACAGAGCCTCATCTCCCCCTGCCCTGGAAGGTTTCTGGGGAGAGGGGCCTGTCCTGACCTCTCGCCCTGATCTCTGTCACAGCCATCCTTGTGGCTCCCCCAGGGAGGGGTAGACGTGGGGGTGACACAAGAAGGGGTGTCACAGGCTGGGCTCTGGCACAGCCCCACTGCAGCAGGGCCAGACCTGGCGTGGTTCAAAGGGGACTGAGCCGGGGAAGTGCTCCCAGTGCCTGGAGGGCTCCCGGGCTCCTGCCAGCTCTCTGATTGCTGGAGGTTTTCCCCTGCTCACGGGTTCCCCAAGGCAGCCAGACCCTCTGTGCCATCGCCACATGGCACTTCCACCCCTTGAGGGTTTTGGAAACCTGGCTGAGAACATCCCTGTACCCCCATTCCCTCTATGGGCATCCTCCTCTGACCCCCCCAGACACCCCAGGAGCACCCACACCCCAGCCCCCTCACAGCCCCCCACCCACGAGAGCACCCCGCTCCCAGATCCCTCCCAGAGAAGCTCCACAGTGAAGGAGTCCCCTCCTGCCTCCACGGACCCGAGCACCCCCACCCCGAGGGGACCCCCGCTGCTCCGCGCCGCCTGGCGCCCCAGCAGGTCAAAGAAGCACATTTTAGCTACAGAAATCGGGTATTTAATAACAATTGTTGGAAAGGAGACGGGAGGAGAGACTCGGAGTGAAGGATCTGGTCTGTCCTGGTGACTGGCTCCACCTTTCACCTCTGGATTTCTGGTTCACTTTTCGGCTGAGGAATGGACACAGACAAAGCAGATTTGTTGGCTTTGCCTCTCGCCCCATCCACCCCTCGACACACACTCTTGCCCCTTCCCATCCCTCCTCTTCATCTCTGTTACCAAAGAAATTACAAACCAAAAACGCAACAACAACAACGACAACCAAAAAAAATTTCCCTCCTGGGAACCAAAAACGCAACAACAACAACGACAACAAAAAAAAATTTCCCTCCTGGGAGCCAACGTCGGTGCACAGTGGGAAAAGAAAAATCCAAGGGATCTGGTGGCGAAATCCAGCCCTGGGTGTGAGAAGGGGGAAAAACTCCCCAACGAGATTGAAAGGGAAAAAAACCAACTCCCTCCCCCAAAAAAAGGAATAACAACAGAAACCACAACCAAACAAGCTCAACAAACACGGGCAACTTACCAAAAAGACGCCAGATTTTTTTTTTTTTTTTTGTGCCAATTAACAACCTGCCTTAAACTCGAATTTCTGGAGCAATGGTACTTATCTTCAAAGGGATCGTTTCCTCCGAGCTCTCGATGGTGACTTGTGCCATATAAAAAAGCAATCACGAGGCCAAACCCTTACAATCAGCCCTCTCCCAGCCCCCCGAGGGCTCCTTGCAGCCCGGCTGTCCTCGGGAGGAGCAGGAGGTGCCGCTGGGGACAGGGAAGGGCTGGGAGAGGCTTGGGGATGAACGGGGAGGCAAGGTCCCCTTCTTCCCCCACCAGTTGGGGAAAAAAAAATCCTCCAAACCAACCATCAACCAAAAAAAAAAAAAAAAGGGACACTCTTGAATTTATGCGGGTAAAAAGTACCATCTGTGTTCTATGGTTTCTTCGATTCACTTTACTTTGAGAGTGATCAGTTGTGTCACAGGAAGGCACCTTGTTGAAAAGAAGGAAAAAAAAAAAAGAGAAAAGAAAAGAAAAGGGGATGGGTTCACCAAAAAAAAAAACCAAAAACCAAAACCAAAAAAAAAAGGCACCCCCAAAATAAAAGAAAAAAGAAAGGACAAAAGAATGAAGAGAGAAAGAAAAAAGCCCTGCACACGAAGCCCTGAGCGGGCAGGGTGAGAGGACGCCTTGAACCAAAGAGCTCCTGGGGTAGGTGGGCGGTGGAGGGGCTGGGGGTGTCAGGCTGGACATGGTCACACCAAACTGACCAACATTGCTGGACAGAGGGCGGGACAGAGGGAGGAGAGAGGGCAGAGTGGGGAGGGGCAGGTGCCACAGCGTGTTTTGCCAACCAGAACCCAAAACCTCATGGGAATCTCATCCCCCCCAGGACCCTGCTCCCCGCCACTGATTTTTTCCCCTAATGTTGTTTCTTCGTCTTGTCGTGACGTGGTGATGATGGTGGTGGATTCCTGAACCCCATCGAGTAGTATTCAAGGGCTGCAAAGCCAGGAAGGGGGCCTTGGTTTGGGAAGTGAAAAACACAACAGGAAAAAAAGAAAAAAAAAAAAAAAAAAAAGGGAAAAAAAGGAAAAGAAAGAAAAAGAAAAAAAAAAGAAAAAAAAGAGTAAATGCCACAGGCCCTCAAGGATGCAAAGACATTTCTAGTGAGAACCCGAGACTAAAGGCTACCTCACTTGAGTTTTCAATTTTTGTGATTTGAAAATCACGTCTGATACCAAAGATTTTGTTGCCTTGTCTGGTCTGTGCTGGAAAGGCCACTTTCCCTGCTCCCCGTGGCCAGGCTGGCCCAGAGAGCCCCTGGCCACCCCCAGCCCCAGCCCCAGCCCTGTCGAGTCCCCAGAGAGCGAGGGAGGAGGCGAGCGAGCGACTCCGGGATGGCAGCGTGGTAGATGAGTGCCTTTTTCTTGTACCAAAGGTGTGTGGCCATTTCTTTGCTCCTCTGCTTTGATCCTAAAGACTCAGCGTGACCTCAGCTCTCCGCAGGGACAGAGTCCCAGGGCTCTCGTAGTCTCTGGGTGTTGGGATGAAGGAAAGAAAACCCGACCCTTGTCCTAATTGAAGAGAAAACATCCCCCTGGCTGAGGGAAAGGTGCTGGTTCCCCAGCATGTCCCCACTCTCAGATGTCCCTGTGTCCCCCAAACTGGTCCCCAGGGTCCCTCCATGCAGCCCCTCTTGCCCCAGGAGCACAGACCTGGTGTCCAGGGATGCTGCTCCCAGGGAAAGGCTTTGCTCCATGACCTTCTGCAGCCTCAGTGCTGGACCCTGCAGAAGCCCACGAGGTGACAAAGCTGAGTTTCCTCACGAGGTGACAAAGTTGAGTTTCCTCAACTTTGGGTGTTTTTGCCTCACTCAGCTCAGATCTGAGCTTTGCTTCTCACTTTTGGTAGCACAGTTTGTGGCATTTCTGTTTGGAAAGATGAAGGCAGGAGCAGTGGAAGCCTCACCCTGAGCTTTCTCCAAACTCTTCCTTTAGGGAAGGGGCTGGAGCACTGAATCCTTCCAGCAGGAGCTGTTTCCAAGTCCCCAGAGGGATGTTTTTGGCTCACCTGTGCATCCAGGTCTGCTCCATTCTGCCCTTGGCTTCAGCAGAAGGCAGCAGGAGGACCTGCCAGAGCTCCCCAGCAATCTCCAGAATGCCCAGTTTAGGGAAAACTCGGGTTGAATTGTACTTGCCTGGGTCAGTCAGGCCAAGGAGACTCCTTTGAGTTGGACCAAACTTGCCCAGGGCCACCCCTGGTGTGATTCTTGGGTTGTCCTGTGCAGGACCAGGAGCTGAATTTGGTGATCCTTGGGGGGTCCCTTCCAATCCAAGATATTCCAGGATTCCAACGCCCCTGGTGAGAGCAACCCCATCCTGCTGGGCAGCCTGAGAGGGCCCTGTCACCTCCCTGTCACCTTCCTGTCACCTCCCTGTCCCCCCTAACACCTCCACACTATTGCCTTGGCCAGGGCTTGCCCGCCCTCCTGGCCACGCCACCCCCTTGTCCCCAGCCCCACCTGGCTCGTGATACCAAAGATGTTCTCTATGCAGGAGAAAGCCTTCATTGCCACCCAGCACAGACCTTACAAGCCTTTGACAATGTTCTCTGAAATACCTCAAAATATTTAATGTATAGTTTATGTGATAAAAAAAAAAAAATTACTTAGCTAGTTTTTGGAATTTGTGACTTGAAGCTTTATACTGTTAAATTATAATTTTGCAGAAGACGGCATGTTCTTATTTCTTTGATGCGTTCAATGGGAGACATATTGAATGTTAAGGAAAGCTGGATAGTTTCACGATTTAAAAAAAAAAAAGAAAGAGAGAGAGAGAGAAAGAGAGAGAGAAAGATTAAAAAAAAAGGACCCTTGGAGTTTACAGATTTCATATTTAAACAAGTCCTTTTAAAAAAAAAAAGAAAAAAAAAAGAAAAACTAATAATGATGACGATACCTTTGCGTTCAGATGTGTTACTTTTCTCTGAGTCATGTCGTATGAGAGTATTTATTATATGTGTTCTGTGTTCAAATGTAATTTAAAGAAGACAAAAAAAGGAAAAAAAAAGACAAGATGAGAATTTGATTTATGCATGAAAAATATACTCTTTCTTGAAGTAATGTAATAATTATTGGGGGAGGGGTGGTCGGGTGGGAGCGGGAGGGGACAAACTGTGCTTTTTTTGTCCACGAGTTTTTGGTTGATGAAGATTTCTCTGCATGGATCATGGTTCTGTTCCAACTCACAACCACTGGAAAGTCATCATTTACCCCCTCGGTTTCTTCCTTCCCCTCTTTTGTTCCTTTCCTCGCCCTGAAAATGGCTTGGCAGCCTCGGGGGGAGGTGGGGGCTGCTCGGGGGACCACCGGGCAGGGCAGGGGCACAGCCTGGCCCCGTGCCCAGCAAACAGGGTAAGGGAATCTGGGACACGGGACCCTGCCGTGCCCACCCTCCCTCCTGCCTCCCCCTGAGGCCTGGCTCCTCACTCTGCTTTGTTTTCTGTTTGTTTGGGGGGGAAATTGTGTTTTTTGGTTTTGTCTTTTTGCTTTTCCAGCTCTGTGGGTCAAATCCCAAGTGTAGCCAAGAGGAGGAGAGACAATCAGCTGCCACCACGACCTGAGCTAGCAAAGCTATGGGGCTCCTCGTGTCCTCTGAGACAAGGGAAACAGCCCTGGGCCCCCCAAAACCCCCCTCAGGGTGAGACATCTCCAGATGATGCTCCCAAATCCCCATCCTTGGGACGACCTCACAGCCCTGTCCCTGCACAGAAAGAGGTGCTGAGGATGCTGCTGCATCAAGGCCCAGCTGGACCAGGCATGGCCTGGGGTGACCCATTTCTGGGGTCTTTGGCCCCAGGAGTGTGGTTTGGGTCAGGGGCACAGCCAGCACTCTGTCCCTGCCAGGCTTTCCTGTGCCACCAGCCCGGTTCTCCCTCTGTGCAAAGACACTGCCCTGGTGGAAGGAGAAGAGTCCAGGCAGTGGAAGAGCCCCTGGAGGATCCCAACCCACCAGATGGCCTCAGGGCACTTTGGAAGGGCTTTGGAGCTTTCTGAAATGCCCAGAGTCCACCCCTGAGTGGCTCCTTCCTCCCCCTGCTCCTCCTCCTCTCCCTGCTTACAGACAGGAGCAGAGGAGCATTGAGAAGCCACATCTTTGGAGGCCAGGAGGGTGATGGGGACCTGGAGGAGGCAGTGGTGCCATTCCCAGACCATTTCCCTGAAACTGCTGCCTCCTCAGCCCTTCCCAACCTCTTCACCATTCAAGGTGGACCCAAAGCTCAGCTGGCCCTGAGGAAAGAGATCTCAGCTCCTTCAGGCCCCACCAAAGTGGTCCCAAAAGCCAAGGAAGGTGTTTTTCAGTCTGCAGCCTTTGTCTGGTGCTCAGCACCAGGTGCTGGTGGAAGACCCACTGACCAAGGACCTGGCTTTTAGGAGAAGATGATGTTGGTTCCAGCAGCACCACTCATTTGCTGGCCACCCCTTCTGTCCTCTGGAGAGCTCAGCATCCCCACCATGCCCCATTTCCTCCTCCAAGATCTTTTCCACCATGAGAAGCTTGACAGCCAAGACCACAATTACAACTGCAAGAAAGTTTGGACACAACCCCAGTCACAAGTCCTTGGAGCTTACAGAGACCAGCTGATTCCATCCTGGGAGTGATGGCTTGGGAAACCCTGGAGAAGCCAAGATCTGAGTCCTGTTCCCTGTCCTTTGGCCCGCCAGGACTCTGGCTCTGCTGATCCCACCCTGGATCTGGCTGTGCCTGCTGCCCACACCAACCAAAATGCCTTCTGGAGCAACTTGCCACGATACCAAAGATTTTTTTTTCCCTGCAGGTAATGACAATCCGAGCTCTGTCCTAAAGACAATTCTCTTGACCAGAGTTGCACCCAAAGGGCATTTTTGTGCTGTGGGGAGCAGGAGAGCAAACAGGGCCCTGGGAACACCCCTGAGGGCGATGGAGGGCAGCGAGGAAGAGGAGGAGACCTGGGATCTCCCACCAGAACCTACTGGTTCATCCTGGACAGTGTCTCCTGCTTGGACTGTGGAAGTTTTCAGGGATTTGGGTCATTCCATGACTTGTGATGCCCCCAGTCACTCCAGTTCTTCCTGGAGTGGAAGTTTTCCAACGACGGCTTTTATACTTTGAAACCCCACCACTGGCAGTGGGGCAGCACTGTCCTCATCCCACTGGGAAAGCAGGAGGCTCCTGGGGTCGATTCTAAACATTTTTACCCCACCAGAGCCAAGCTTTCTCTGCTCTAACATCAGCTGTGCAGGCAGGACATGGGCACAGAGCGAGAGAAACGGCTTTGCCAAAAATTCACCAGTCATCCTTTTTCCTGAACATCCCAAGTCTGGGTGGGGAAGACTTGAAGCTCCTCTTTCCTTCACCACGGGGTTGTCACTGCCCCGTCTGCCTGTCCCTGTCACCACCACATGTCCCCAGCATGGAGCTGGCTCCTTTCCCTTGTCTCAGAGGACACCCAGCCGTGGGGCCGGACCTGCAGGAGCTGCCACGAGGAACCCACTTCCTCCCACATCTTTGTCTGGCGTTTTTAAAGAGAGGAAATTAAAAATGCAAAGAACAAAATGTGGGTTTGTTTTGGTTTGGTTTCTTTGTATTTTTTCCCTTTGATTTCTAAAGGAAACAAAGGAGTCAGACAGAATCCAGCCTGGCCAGGGAGAACCCACAGCCTCGGCTCTGCCAGCCCAGCCTCCTCCAGAAAACATTGCTCGTTTTTGTGTATAGCAATAGGTGAGGCTCGTCCTCGTCCCATGCAGTCTGAGGGCAACATCTCTGACTTTTTAAATGACTTTTTCGTTCTAATTAAATTAACTTAATTTTTTTTTTTTTTTGCTGCTGCTTCATTGTTACTCTCATGGGATAAGTTTTGTTCTACAGCGAAATGCAATTGTTACTCCTCTGTGTCTTGCAACTATATTTGTTTAAGCTATTTACAAACGTTAAAAAAGAAAAAAAAATAAAATAAAAAAGAGTCTTATGTGTCAGGCACTTTATCCAAACTGTGCTGTGTGCTCTGGAGTTTGTTCCTTGTTCTTTGCAATGACTCACGCAGGGGAAGTTATCAGGAAACTTAACTCCAGCCTGTCAACAGGTTTTAAAAGAGAGAAAAAAATTAATCTCTATTTGTTCATCCTCTACTGGTCATGACTGTGTTGTATTTCTGCAGCTTTCTGTTTCTTCAATAAATTATTTTCTAGTCATTCACCCTGGCGTGTGTGGTGTCCTGTGGTGGTGAGGGGGTCACTTCCCTCCCCTGCCCCCTTTCACCACCTCACTCCTCCCACAGTCCTGGCCTGGGAGGTTCAGGGATCATGCCCAGGACACTGGGGAAAGTTTTTCCCCCTCTTTTCCACCTGACAGTTGCAGCAGTGAGAGCTTTCCCAGAGGCAAGATTTTTATTTCTTGGCACCATCCAATCCCTTCTGGCCAGAACCCAAGGGAAACACTTTAATTCTCACAAACCTGGTGCAGATGAGGCCAAAGCACTTGTAAAACAAACCCATGGACTCACATGAGCTGCAGGCAGGGCCAAGCCTCCGTGGATGATTTAATTGTGCATCTTTTTCCCAAATTTCTTCTCCTACTGTGCCTTTTGCCATGGCACGAGCAGGGCTGGCACAGACAGAGGGACCACGGGACCTTTCAGTGCTGCTTTCACCCTTCGTGGCACAGCAGAGCTTGCCAGGAGAGGAGAAAAAAGCTAAAAGGTCCTTTTAATTAAAAAGCAAAACCCATAAAAAGGGTGACCATGTCATGAGTCCATCGCTCACACACAACTTCTCCAGCAGCCACTGCTGGTGGCCCTGGCTCTGTGGGACATGTCCCCTGTGCCCAACAGGCAGAACTTCCCCACAGCCCCTGAAGTGCTTTTTGGGACTCTGCAGACTGTGTGAGCATAAGCTTCCCCCCGAGGTGGGGGCACCAGGGGAGCGTGTGGGGATGGGGCAGGACACACAGAGGACACTGCCCCAGTGCAGGGACAGCAAAGGCAGGAGCTGGGAGTGGTGGAGAGTGACAAGGAGGCTGCAGGAGCCAGGCTGGTCTGGCTGGAGAAGAAAAACCAATCAATCAATCAATCAATCAATCATACCTGGCTGCTTCTCCAGAAATGAGGAGATATTTTAAAGTTACACTGCTCGGGTCTGAGGCACCTGGGCTGGTGGAGGTGACCCTGCCCATGGCAGAGGGTGGCATGAGATGAGCTTTAAGGTGTGCACCTGTATGCAAACCTTGAGATAAGAAATGCTGACTTAGAAGTGCCATGGAATAGGACAGACATTGTTAAGAGAAAAACAGAACTAGAAACAAGTTTCAAAGGATGGCCTTACAAATAAGACTAGATACTTTAAAGAAATAGAACAATGAAAGTTGCATTGTAATAAACCCACAAGGAGTAATTTAGATGATTGGCTTTAAAACATTTACAACATAGTGTTGCAAAAGCTGATAAACCAAAAAATGCTTATAATATATTGTAATTAAGAAATAGTCAGCTTCTGATTGTGATAGCATAAATTATAACATCTGTATTGTCTCACTTTTCTCATGAGACTAAAAATAGAATTAAAGTTTTTAAAACATCTCTCAGTTACCCCATCTCTAAATTAAAAAAAAAAAAAAACAAAACCCAAACATAATCCAACACCATTCAAACCACTCCAGGACTGTGTGACCTAACAGAAAAGCCACAGGATTGACCAGCCCTTGGTGGAGAACACAAAACAAGGCTCTTCCTGCAGCCACTGCAGCTCAGTGCCCTGTGGGTGGGAACGAGCAGAGCTGCACCCCCCTGCCCCTTGCTGCTCTCCATCAGGCACTTAATTAACCCAGACCTAGGTTAATGAGTTCTGGGTCGGCAGCACTGCCTTTGTAGGCTCAGCCTGGGCTGGGATCAGCCTCACACCAGAGGCTCCGAGGGCTCGGCAGAGAGAAGGGGGCTGGGCTGCCAGCCAGGGGTCACAGGACGAGGGCAAGCCTGGTGGCACTGGTCAGGGAGTATGGTGACAGTGGGCAGCTGGTCGCAGTGGTCAGTGAGCAATGTGGCAGTGGGTAGGGAGCCTTGTGGCAGCAGGCAGCTGGTGGCACTGGTCAGGGAGCATGGTGGCACTGATCAGGGAGGACGGAGGCACTGGTCAGGGAGCCTGGTGGCACTGGTCAGGGAGCCTGGTGGCACTGGTCAGGGAGCCTTGTGGCAGCAGGCAGCTGGTGGCACTGGTCAGGGAGCCTTGTGGCAGCAGGCAGCTGGTGGCACTGGTCAGGGAGCATGGTGGCAGCGGGCAGTGGCTGTCACAGCTGTACAGCTCTGCAATGCCACGTGCTCCCAGCGTGGGGGTCACAGAGCCCGCAGCAGGAGCCCCCCAGGCTGGGCCAGCCCCTCTGCAAGGCCACCAGACGGGATTCAAGGTGGCCCCTGGCAGGAGGGAAGCAGCCAGGTGTGCCCGGGACTGCTACACCGGGGGGCAGCGCGCGGAGGGCACAGCCGGGGTCCCCTGGGGGCGCAGGGCACCCGGGGCAGTGCCGTGGGTGGCCCTGGCACGCAGACTGTCCCCGCGGGTGATGAGGCCGGCGTAGCCCTCCTGGTGGGAGAAGGCGTAGCTGGAGCGGCGGAAGGAGCCGCGGGGGACGTGGGAGCGCAGCTCCACCGCGGGCTCTGGGTCCCGCCTGGCCTTCAGGTGGATCTTCTGCAAGGACATTGAGAGATCAGGGCTGGGGACATCTCCCTGGACAGCCCTCAGCCCAAGGGGGGACGTGAAGTGATGCCTTGTGAAGGCTGAGCTAGAACAGAGCTAAGGAGGCAGAGGCTGAGCAAGATGATGCTAGAACAGAGCTAGACAGAGCTGAAGAATAAAACAGGGATTTATTAAAAGGCCTCAATGGATCCACCTGGGGCAGCACAAGAGCCCAGGCAGGGCTGCACCCAAGATGAACCAAAATGGTCACAAAATGCACGAGCACTCACGGGGTCTCTCACTTTGATCAGTTCTGCTCCATTTGCACATTGGAGTTCATTGTCCAATTCCAGCCCCAGCCCATGCAGTCCCATCCTTCTTGTTTTTCTCTCTTCAGCCCACGCTGTTTGTGCTCTTGGGCCTGAGATTTGGAGCATTTATCCCTGGTCCCCAGCTAGAGCAGGAATTGTTTTGTCTCCCTGCTCTGTGCAGAGAGCTCACCATGCCCTGATATGAACCCAGACCCACACACCAAATCAGCACAGAATCTGAAAAAATAGGAAAGCTAAATCCTGAGGCATCAAAGGGAGCATAGGGGCACCTCCACCAAGGCACAGCTTGGCTCCTAGCTCTACAGTGACCTGATTTTCCATGGGGATTCTCCTAGGGATCTGCAAAGCTCGTGGAGCTATGGAGCACAGTGTCACACAGGCTGTGGACACCTTCCAGGCAAGCCCTCATCCCAAGGTGGGGCACACCCTAGGCAGAGGCACACCCTCCACTGATGCCTCGGGTTTGAGCTTTTCTATTTTTCAGATTCTGTGCTGCTTTAATGTGTGGGTCTGGGTCCATATCAGGGCATGGTGAGCTCTGTGCACAGAGCAGGGAGACAAAACAATTCCTGCTCTAGCTGGGGACCAGGGATAAATGATCCAAATCTCAGGCCCAAGAGCACAAACAATGTGGGCTGAAGAAAGAAAAACAAGCAGGATGGGACTGCATGGGCTGGAGCTGTAATTGGACAGTTAACTCCAAGATGCAAATGGAGCAGAGCTGATCAAAGTGAGAGAGCCCATGACCAGCTGTCCATTTTGTGACCATTTTGGTTCATCTTGGGTGCAGCCCTGGCTGGGCTTTTGTGCTGCCCAAGGTGGATCCATTGAGGCCTTTTGGGAAATCCCCACTTTATTCTTCAGTTCTGTCCAGACTCTGTTCAAGCTCAGCCTTCACAAGGCATCCTCACCAGGACAGGGTTTGGATCCCAGCTCCACCACAACCTCCTTCTCCATGATGGGATGAGGGACATGGGGACTCTCCCAGGGGGCTGCAAAGCTCACAAAGCTCTGGAACACAATCTCAACCCCTACTTCCACCTGGACTCTTTTGAAGGTACAACCCACAACCCCGGTGGGGGTTAGTTCCACCAAGGCTGGGGTGGCCCCAGGACCTGCACCAGGCCCCAGACCCTCCTGGGGAGTCCTATAGGACAATTACTTACTGCGACCAAAAGCAGACCCTCTTCAAGAGCTGGGTCAGCTGTCTTGGCCCAGACCAGGCTTGGCCATGGAGCAATTTTGGGAGAGGCCTCTGGAGTCAGAGTTGGTGCCAATGTCACGAGGGACCACCACGAGTGGGACCACCAAGGAGAGGTGACATGTCCCAGCACAACAGTCCAGGCTTCCCTGCAGAACCTCCCCTTGCTAACACCAATCCCAGACACCAGTGGGAAGCAGGACTTGCCCTGGCAGTGCCCCCAGCCCTCACCTGCTGGGTGGTGGCTCTGCCCAGGATGGCACGGACGGCGTGGACGGTGAGCGAGGGGATGGTGTTGACCACCAGGGACAGCAGGACCACGAGCAGGACATAGGGGTCAGTCAGGGCATTCCAGCTGGCATCTGTCAACACAGGTGTGGTGTTTGGGTAGGGAAGGTAGGGAGGGAACAGGGAACAAGTGCTGGGCCCCCAGCCAGGAAGGTGCTGCGGGCTCTAAAGAGGAGATGGCACCTAAACTGGAGTTAGAAGTCAAGGCAGAAGTTCAAGAATGAGGAGATGATCTGCAGGGTGGGAAACAGCTCCTAGCACCAAGGCCAGGGAAAGGAAGGGCCGAGTGGATCCCCAGGGCACCTCACCTGGGAAGCGGAAGATGGCAGGGGCTATCCTGTAGGCATCAACAGTCTGGGTCAGGAAGGAGAAGAGGCAAAAGAGGAGCAGGCTGACTGTGACCATCAGGAAGGACAGCACTGTCCAGTACTGAGTGTCCAGGACAATCTGTGGGGACAGAGCATGCAGTCTCCTGAGGGCCTTGGTGACCCTCTTCCATTCAGCTGCTTTGTCCAAATCCCTCCTCCATCCCAGAGAGATCATCCCCCAGCCATAAAGCTACTGGGGATAATGCCAGAGCCCAGGGACCCTAAAGATCTGCTGTGGGGCAGGATGAGCAAGAGCAGACCAGTGCTCACCTCCATGAGGACCGACAGCAACGCTGACAGGGCCACTGTGACAGAGAAGGACTCATAGTCACCCACAACCTTGGTGCCAACGTGGTCCTCAAAGGCCCAGAGTGTGATGTAGAAGCTGGCGAGGGAGGTGCCCACCCCGTGCAGGAGGGTGACACCAAAAACACGGTAATTGAAGAGCTCGTCCTGCTGCCCGACCACGTAGAGCTCAGGGAACTCCAGGCTCTTCTTGGCACTCACATCCTGTTGGGAGAGCATCCCAGAGGGGATGCAGGGATTGGGGGAGGGAGGGAATCCCAGAGGGGATGAAGGGATTGGGGGAGGGAGGGAATCCCAGAGGGGATGCAGGGATTGGGGGAGCAGGATGGGTCTGCCCCACCCCACACACCCTCTGGGAGAGCTGCAGTGGGTCCCTCTGCGCAGTGGCTCTGGGGTGGCTGGGGACAGGCACCCCAGGACTGAGGGTGAGCTCCAAATGCCCACCGAGCTGCCAGGGCCGTGTGTGGCACAAAGGGCTGTGGAGATGGGGCAGTGACTGCCAGGCTGGCTCCCACCTGCCCAGGGTGGCACAGGGCTGGGGGAGCCCGGGGAAGCCGTACCTGCTCCAAAAGGCCCACGGACAGCACGGGGTAGGCAGTGTAGAAAATATTGTAGAGTGCAAGGAACCAGCCCTCATACAGAGGCTAGAAGGGAACAGGGAGAAGCTGTGAGCTTGGAGGTGCTTTGGAAAGACTCATAAAGGAGGAACAGGCCCCAGGACACTCAGATCCAAACATGGAAATCCCTTTGGTCTTGCCCCACTCCCTGCATCAGCCCCACACTGTCTGTAGGGTCATGCTGCAGACAGAGATGGGGCTGGAGCTCCGTGTGCTGCTGGTCAAGTCACACTCAATGATGGCCCTTGGGGTCAAAGCTCCCATTTTGGAGGAAACCAGTTTAAACCCACATGGGATCCTGCATATGTCCAAGACTGAAGTGCAGCTCACAAGTGCGGAAGAGGTTTTACAGAGACTTCTGTGAGCCAGAGAGAAGTTTGATATGAGGATCCATGTTTACCCCTGAAAAAATTTTCTACCAAGGTCATTGACATAGAAACCAAGAAAGAAAGAAGGAGAAATAAGAGAAACCTGCAACTGTCTATCCAATAAGTACTTTGTGTGTCTTTCCTGACCAAGTGTAAACTTATGAGTCTTGTAAGGATGTATAAAAAGCATGCATGCTATAATAAAAATGGGTTTGAAGCCTTCTGAAAATGGAGTATTGCCTTGTATTGTGTCTGTCTCAACTATGACACAGAAGGAGATCCTGAATTTCCCCAGGGTGCTTTCCCAATCCAGCCAGGTAAAAGGCAGATAACCAGTTGTGCCTCAGTCAGAATTTGGACATGGCAAGGGAGAAAAGGGGACCAAGGTGGTGATGTGGACACGTGTCCTCCAGGCAACCCCAGGGATGATCCCTGCAGGGGATCCTGAGCAGGGGGGTCGTCACTGTGGTGCACAGACCTCCACAGGATGGATGTGACCCCTGCACCGCTCACCTGGGCCGTGAATCCGCTGTGGAAAGCGAACCACACCTGGGCCAGGAGGCCAGCGAAGGTCTTGTAGAAGAAGAACCGGAGGAACTTGCAGATGCGCAGGTAGTTCCAGCGGCCGTGGACCAGGAGCAGGCGCTGCAGGAAGGAGAACTGGGCCAGGGCGTAGTCACTGCACTGCACGGCCTGCAGCCCCTCCAGCCCGCTGATGCCCACCCCGATGTCCGCGGCTGCGGGTGGCAAACGCACACGGGGAGGTTTGGGGGAGCTGGGGGCTTGATGTCCCCGTGGGTTGCCCCCAGGAATGTGAATCCAGGGGCGACAGACAAAGGGAACCCCCTCTATCCCATGTCCTGGATATTCCAGGCGTGGTGTGAGAGCACAGCCCCGTGTCAGGGCTGCTGGGAGGGGCAGGGGTGGCTCTGCCAGCTGCCCACGTTGGGGTTTGAGGGTTCATCAAGGTTCATTCCAGGTGCCAAAAGCACGTGAGCCACCCTCACTTGTCTCGGGCTGGTCCCTGTCCTGTGCCTCTCGTTCCCCTCCCAGCACAGCAACGTGGGGAACAGGTTTTGGGCTTCCCCTCCCAGTTCCTCTCCCCAAAGGGGAGGGTGAGGTGGCAGAGATGGCACATGGGACACCACCATCACCAGTGGGACACACCAACAGAACCCCGACCTCCCCCTGCCCAAGCCTCACTTTTGATCATGTTGACATCATTGGCCCCGTCCCCGATGGCCAAGGTGACGGCCTTCTTGTGCTTCTTCACCAGCTGCACCATCAGGGCTTTCTGCTTGGGGGTCACCCTGCAGCAGATCACGGCCTGGCAGCTGCTGGCCAGGTCCACAAAGGCCTTCTCCACCAGAGCTCCCTGGTCCTGCGAGGCCTCAGCCCTGCCACAGCACAGCCACCGCCAAGGCCACCCCTTCTTCTCCTTCAGCACCTCTCCTGTGTGCAGGATTTTGTCCTTGGGGGAGAGCACACATGGCTGGGACCTCACCCATAGTCCTCAGAGCTCTCAGCTCCCCAGCAATGCTCTTAAATGCCCCAAAAGAGTGACTCTGGTTTTCCCCAAGCTCATCACAGAGTGGGTGCTGTGAACATGAGCCCAGTATGTCCCAGTGTGACCACGAGAGCTTGTGATCACCACCCAGCCCGTGTCACTCCAGAACACTGCGCAGCTTTGGCCAAAGCCCCTCAACACCAAATGCTCAGTGCAAGGTTGATCTCCTCTCCACCCTTCCTTCCCCAGCCCCAAATGGGCTTTTCCCACCTTTTGGGACAGGAGGAGCACCACGTCCTGCCCGTGCTGGTGCCACCCAGGACTCTGATACCACCAGGGCAGGAACAACCATCAGGCAGGGAGCAGAGAACAGCATCCAGGTGCCACCTTACCAGGAAGTCCCCGCTGATGATGATGGCTCTCTTGTGGCTCAGAGTCTCTGGGCACTGCTGGGAGAGGCGGCGGCTGCACGGGGCATCCCCACGGCCACTGAGGTTGTTGTTGCTCTCCCAGTAAGCCTGGAGGATCTCGCTGTGGGAGGAAGGGGGGTTGGATATGAGCTGGGGACATTGGGAATGCTGGTGAGGTCTTGGTCATCTCAAAGATAGGGAGATGAGACTGTGGTGGGAACAGGAGGAACAAAGAGGAGGTTCACTCATATCGGAAATCAGCCTGGTTTAGAGGCTGGAGAGAAGCTTAAACCCTTTCTGGGCAAAGCCTGCCAAGGAAGAGCATGGGATGGGAGGAGGAACAGGTGAGGAGGTCTGGAAAAGCATCAGATGAACACCATGGACATTCAGGCTGGCAAGGGAAGGAGAAGCTCCTCTGGCTGAGCCAAGCTCTGCCCACCCTGTCCCAGTTCCTCTGCCCTAGGGTGTCCTCAGCAGGGACAGCAATGTCCTGAGCCAGGAGGGGACGATTCCTCACCTGACCTCCTTCTCCTCCAGGATCTCCATGTCATCTGTCAGCAGCCTGCAGGCGTAGCCGATGTTCATCGCGGTCTCTGCAACACCCAGCTCTTAGTGGTCCATGGTGCTGCCGCCAGCCCTTGGCTCCAAGAGCCTTTGGTGGGCAGCAGATCCTTCCCCTGCCTCAGTTTCCCCTGGCAGGTGGGATGTGCTGCTATTGGAGAGTAAAGGGAGCAGCAGTACCAGTTCCTGCCCACTCCCAGTGGCCCTCCTCCTCTCTGGTCCTGGTCAGGGGAGAAGCTGAAATGTGTTGGGGGGTCTGGGGGTGCCTCCACTGACCTTGTTTGTCTCCTGTCAGCACCCACACTTTGATGTTGCCCAGTTTCAGCAGCTGGATGGTCTCAGGGACTCCATCTTGCAGCTTGTCCTCAATGGCTGTGGCCCCGAGCAGCTGGAGGGGGGTGACTTCGTGTCATGGCACAGGGCAGGGCAGGACACAGAGGTGGGAATCAACCCTGGATCCAACCAGCAGCCCTCGCTCGGGATGACACAACCTGACATCTACAGCCTGACACCCCAGTGTCCACTGGCACGTCACAAAATCACCCCTCGGGGGAAACTCCTCCTGTCCTGCCCCAGGGAATGGGCTGGACACTTCACTTCCTCATTCTGGAGAGCCAAACCCCACATGCCTGCCCTTGGGGGCACAGAGAGCTCCTCCTGACCCCAGCCCCGTCCCACCTGCAGGTTCTGCTCCATCTCCTCGTAGAGCCTGTCCAGCTCCTGGGCACGGTGGTGCAGCAGCACCGCGGCCTCGCGGTGCCTCCGGCTCCAGGCGCGGAACTCGGCCTCGCTCACCTCCCTGCTGGCCACGCACAGCGTCCTCAGCGTCTCCTCCGCAAAGCGCTGCAGGGACGAGACATCAGGACTCTCCTCCCGCCCCAGGAGATCGTGGGAAATTACATGAGAAGTAGAAAGTAAGGACAAATAGAACAATGGTCTGTGTATTAACACTTAGCTAGAATAGCTCCCTAAGCTACAGGAAAGTCTATCTGGTGAGATATTAGGAAATTCTAAGCTTAATAATGGAGCTCTGTGCTTGTATCTTAGGGTCTACAAGCAGGTATTGTATTCAAAATAAGCAAGCATTGTTTTAACCAAAGGTATATGTGCTTATAGTAGTTGGAAAGAACTATGTTTTAACCAAAGGTACATGTGCTTATAGTAGTTGGAAAGAACTACTGTCAATATGCTTTTGCTTTGTGTGATTGGTCAAAAAACTTCTAAAGTGAGTTGTAACATTGAGTTCTTAATCTGCTGCTGGGGATGCGAGCTGCTGGCATCTTCCCATTGTCATAACCATGTAATGAGACTGATGCTGGAAAATACAACAGCTTGAGAATTGTTCCCCAGCAGTCCCGTCCCATTGGTGATGTGTACATAGATCCCCAACCAGCAAGAGAGGGCCAGGAGACTCTCACAGGACCAGGGCATCACCCCAGGCCAGCCATGGGCAGAGCCAGAGACACTCCAGGACCTGGGCGTCTCTCTGCAGGCTCCAACTCCCTTCCCCCATCCTACAGCATCCCCACGAGCATCCCTGGATGCAGCTGGTCCATGCAGAACACCGAAGGTGGAATCCGTGCCCTCTTACCCCCTGTCCCACATGCAGGTGAGGCTCCTAGAGCAGAAGGCAGAACAAAAATCCCCAAGGCAGAGCGAGGAAGAGCAGCAGGGCAGGGACTGCAGGACCCCCAGCCCAAAGGCAGCAGGAGGCAGAGCAGTCCTGTCACCCCGGGCTGGGGTGGCACTCACGTCCAGAGCCCTCTCGGTGAGGGTCTCCTTGGGCCCTCGGCTCCGCAGCCTCTCCAGGATGACGGTGTCAGCACCCTTGGTGTAGAGCCGGATGGTGCCCTTGGGGTCTCGCACTGCCAGGGAGGGGAGGACACCTTAGGTCCCCTCAGAGATGGCTCCCCTGCATCACTGTCCCTGCACAGTGGCCACGCTGGCCCATGCTGGCCCCCAGAAGGCACCAGAGGGCTCGCTGGTGGTCTCCCACCTGTGGCCATGGGAAGCACAGGAATATCCCCAGATCTGCACCACCACGGGGCAGAATCAGGGACTGTCAGTTCCTCACACAACTCCTCTGAGCCCTGATTTACTTCCTCTCTCTTGGCTGCTCAAACTCTTCTTGGCTACCTTGACCAAGGTGACCAAACCCACAGGGATGACCAGGGTGACCCTCAGGAGCTAGCTGTGGCCACCTGCAGCCATGCCAGTGCCATCCCTTGTAGGGCTGAGCACAGAAGGGACCTGGGACAGCCCACCCCACCCCACTCACCCAGGACAGACATCCTCTTGCGGTCGCTGTTGAAGTCCAGCATGGCCAGCACCTCGTACGTCCTGGTCCTGCCCAGCTCCCTGATGGTGATGGAGTCCTGAGTCCGGCCCAGGAAGACATAGCCCAAGCTCCTGGCTGCCAACACCAGCGCTTCCTCATCTGGGGAGGCTGCCTGGTAAACCAGCTGGTCTGCAGGAGGGGAGGAGGATTACACACACACAGGTTCCCAGCAAACCCCACTGGGACAGCTGCAGTGCCCCATTCTTCCCCAGCTGTGACACCCTGAGCCTGAGCTGCCAGGCTGGGGAAGCCCAGTCCTGCTTGTCTCATCTGGAGAGGGACTGGGGACAAGGCCTGGAGGGACAGGACACAGGGAATGGCTGCCACTGCCAGAGGGCAGGGCTGGATGGGGCTTGGCAGGAATTGTTCCCTGGCAGGGTGGGCAGGCCCTGGCACAGGGTGCCCAGAGCAGCTGTGGCTGCCCCTGGATCCCTGGCCAGGCTGGCCAGGGCTTGGAGCAGCCTGGGACAGTGGGAGGTGTCCCTACCATGGCAGGGGTGGCACTGGGTGAGTTTTGAGGTCCCTCCCAACCTCAACCACTCTGGGATTCTATGACGCCTTTAGCTCATTGCCCAAGACAGGATTATTCCCCTTGTGCTTCTGTTCCCACCCATGAGCTCTAAAACTCCCCCAGACACAAATCCATGGTGCAGGGACAGTGGCATGAGCCACCCTTGTGCTCTCTCAGCCCACAGCTGAGCTTTGCTGGGCACTGCCCAACCCCACCACCGCCCCACAGCCCCGAGGGGCAGCTCAACCCACCGCCCCTGTCCTCCACCATGACGGTGTGGCAGAGGGCCAGCAGCCTCAGGAACTCTCTCAGCACCGGGTCATCGTCCCTCTGGGCAGCTTCCAGCAGCGTCACATCGCAAACGTCCGAATTCCGCTCCGCAGGGCGCTCCCGGCCCAGCCCCGAGCCCTGCAGGAGGCACGGGCAGGATGCAGGAGCCCGGTGGGACCAAGCACGGGGGTCTGTGTCCCCAGGGGCACCGGGATGTGACACAGTGGCACTCTGTGCTGTCCTTCTGTCTTAGGTTGGAAATGGGTATGTGTATTCTATTCCCATCTGTAAAAGCTTTGCTAGGGCTTTTTGACCTTCTTTTTTGCTTTTATCACTGTCCATTTGTCTCAAACACATGATACTTAACAGGGCTTCATGCTAAAGCTTGGGTCTGCCCTGCTCATGAAATGTCACTATTTAAGCATCATGATGGCTCCCAAAGTAAGCCAAGAGCTGGAGTAAGTACAGCAATGAGAAGAGGAAGGTCTTGGCAATTTTCAAGGCTTTATGGGGAAAACTGAGCAGAATCATTAAAAATAAGGGATTTTTAAATGCACAAAAAAGGTAAAAAAACCCAAAACCTCAAACAAACAAATAATTTTTTTTAAAAAACCAAAAAGCAAAGAGCAATTAAATATATTCACTCTAAATGAAGAGCTTAAGGACAATGATAATTTTATAATAAAATAAAAAATAAAAACTTCCACAAATAGAAAAAAATTTAATCTATAACCTTAAAAAAACTTTAATATGAAAAAAAATATACAAATATTAAACAAAAATCATTAACATATAGTTCTGTAATTATGAGTTAAAATACCTTAAATTAATTAAAACTTGTATTAATAAAATGATTAAAATTATTATTAAATATAATTATATTAAATAAAATAAAAATTAAAAATAAAAACTAAAACTAAAACTAAAAATTATAATAAAAACATATATAAACATATAACAAAAACACATTAAACAAAAATATCTACAGTACAACAAAATTAAATAAATATAATAAAATAATAAAATAAACCTCATAACAACTATCTATTAAATTAAAAAATTACACCTTTTCTTATAACAAAAAACTTATAACTACTTTAAACCATAACCAACTACTTACTCCTTTAAAATCTAACAACTTCTAAAACTAATATTTATCTAAACAATAAATGATTCTTAACCCAACAATAATCCCATTCCTTCATTAAAGACAACAACAGCCTTAGGCTGAAAGATGTTAGTGGGGGTGTGTATTCTGTTCCTATCTGTCAGGGCTGAGGCAGCTCTCTTCTGTCCATTGGGCAGTTTTTTCTTTATCTCTCCCACAGCCAACCCTCCCTCCAGGAGATCTCTGCTGTCCATGGCCACGGAGTGTCCCTGTTTTAATTTCAAAATGATAACAATTCAGAGGGAGGGGTTTACATTTTCCATTTCAGGGGAGGCCCCTGCCATCCTTAGCACACACCTGTCTTGTCAAACCAAAACACAATAATAAATGGCGCACCTGCAACGCCCCAAAAACATGGGGAATAAGACAAAGAGAATTCCTACCAACACCAATCCCCCTGTCCCAGGCACTCAGGAGGGGTGGAAAGAACCAGCTCCAGGTTCCCTGCAAACCAATCCCAGCCCAGGTTACCATAGATGGTCCCGTTGACACAGCATTTCTTGAAGCTCATGATGTTCTGGGTCAGGGTGCCCGTCTTGTCCGAGAAGATGTACTGGATCTGGCCCAGCTGGTCGCTGAGGCTGGTGCTCCTGGCCTCGGCTGGGATGTCCTTGGCACCATAATACATCTCCAGATCCCAGTTAATGAAACAGCTGTTCACCAGGTAGATGAATTCGAACCTAGGGAGTGCAGGAGGAGACAACAGGGAGAAGGAGGTGGTGTTCCTCACAGTCCAGGGTGCTGGGGGCCTGACACAGGAAGGAAAGGCAGGTGGACATCCCCACCTTGATCCTACTGCTCTGGGTTTGGGGGAGGCCAGAGGGTTTTCATCACCCACTGGGTCCCCTCTGGAACTGTGGCCTTTGCTGGCCAAATTCACAGGTCTGGAGGTCCAGTGAAGGGCCCAAAAGTTTGGAAACAGCTTTTTCCAGCATGAATTGTGATTGTTGGCTGCACAGAGCAGCTGTGCTCTTCTCCTCCCTGCTGCTGTCCATAGGAAACCCAGGAATATCTCAGATCCTGCTCCTAGGGAGCTGTACCTTCCTCAGAGCCATCCTCAGTCTGCCCATGATTCCCAATATCCCATCCATCCCTGCCCTCTGGCAGTGCAAGCCATTCCCTGTGTCCTGTCCCTCCATCCCTTCTCCCAAGACCCTTTTCAGCGATGCCCAGGGCTCACATCCCTGTTCTGCTTTTGCCCTGGGAAGATCTCAATCACATCCTTGGTGTTTGTAGGACACACATCCCCATCCACCCTTCCCCTCTGCTGGCTAAGGGAGCCCCTGGGAATGACCTGGGCCACACCTGGACCTTCATTTTGGGGCTGTGACCCCAGTTCCAGGTGAGGAGCGAGGGCAGGGCGGGTGCTGGGCCCTTACGTTATGTACATGGACATGGGGATGATGATGCTCAGGAGGATGGTGAAGCCCCAGAAGTTGAGGAAGGCCTGCTGGGCAGGGCTCGTGTGCTGGTAGAGGGCAGCCAGGTAGCTGTGCTTCTCCTGGAACGTCCTGGCCCAGAACCCAGAGGCCACGGCGAGGCCCAGGGATGTCACCAACAGCAGCAGGAAGATCTGGGGTGGGAAACCAGCATGAGAAGGTCCCAAGATGAGCAAGTCCCAGGATCACAGAGCCCACCAGAATATTTTCTAGAAGGCTCCAGGGAGAGCTCAGAGCCCCTTGCAGGGCCTGAAGGGGCTCCAGGAGAGCTGCAGAGGGACTGGGGACAAGGCCTGGAGGGACAGGACACAGGGAATGGCTGCCACTGCCAGAGGGCAGGGCTGGATGGGATCTTGGGCAGGAATTGTTCCCTGTGAGGGTGGGCAGGCCCTGGCACAGGGTGCCCAGAGCAGCTGTGGCTGCCCCTGGATCCCTGGCAGTGCCCAAGGCCAGGCTGGACATTGGGGCTTGGAGTGACCTGGGACAGTGGGAGGTGTCCCTGCCATGGCAGGGGGTGGCACTGGATGGGCTCTGAGGTCCCTTTCAACCCAAACGATTCTGGGATTCTCTGAACACGTTAAACACAAGATATTTTGGGGCAAATATTGAAAGATGATCCCTGGCAGTGCCCAAGGCCAGGCTGGACATTGGGGCTTGGAGTGACCTGGGACAGTGGGAGGTGTCCCTGCCATGGCAGGGGTGGCACTGGGTGGGCTTTAAGGTCCCTTTCAACCCAAACCATTGTGGGATTCTCTGAAAACGTTAAACACAAAATATTTTGGGCTAAATATTGAAAGATTAAGAAAAGCAGCACCACCCAAGCAAGAGGCCTCTCGTGAGGAGTCTTGTGAGCCACCCCAGGAGCAGAGCAGAGGTGTTGGTCCCACACCCACCACAATCACCAGCCGGTCCATCAGGTGGTCCAGCTTGGTTTTCTTCCTCTTGATTTTCCCAGAGTTCCTCATGATTTTGGAATCAAACCCTGGGCAGGAAACATTTCCAAAGTAAAAATGCAAGTCCCCAGAAGGTTCAGGTGCAGGTCAGTGAGGCTGCTTCCCTCCATGATGACACCTCCCCTCCCTTGAGGAGACCCTCCGTCCCTCAGTGTCCATGGAGCCATGGTTGCAGGCTCCAAAATGTGATGTTCACAGCAGCTCTCACCCCTCCCTCTCCCCGCAGCTCCCCACAGCCTGAGCTGGGTGGGTTGGATCTGGGATGAGTGGAAGTGTCCCAGGCCAGGTTGGACTTTGGGGCTTGGAGCAGCCTAGGACAGTGGAAGGTGTCCCTGCCATGGCAGGGCTGGCACTGGATGGGCTTTGAGGTCCCTCCCAACCCAAACCATTCTGATTCTCTGAACATGTTAAACCAAACACATTTTGGACCAAATATTGGTGCAGCTGGGGGATAACCCAGGATGAGGAGAGGTTTGGTACCGCCTCACCTCCCACCAGGACACACCGCGGCAGCTCCTCCACCCTGTGCCAGCTGGGAACGGCACCTGCCGCTGCTGGAAGAGCTCAGGCAGCTTAAACCCCCCGTGCTGCCGGGGCATTCCTGCCCTTCCCGGCCCGCAGGGACACTTGCCTGCGTAGAGCACAAAGCCGTAGCAGCGGGCGGTGTTGCGGACGCGGCAGCCCCGCAGCAGGATGCGCTCGGCATCCAGAGCGTGGCTGCGGCCCCGCCAGCACAGGGTGCCCGTGAAGGTGTGCATGCGGCTGTTGGGCTCCTCGCACGTCACTCGCCCTGGTGGGGTGCACAATTTAGGTTATTTGGTTGTTCTCTTGCACTGGGTGGTTGGGAATTTGCACAGAGTGGTTTTATATTGCACTTTATAGCTTATGCTGCATCACGTGGTTTGTTTCCCTTTCCCCCATCTCATGGTCTGTCCCCCACCCACCCCAGTACCCCTGGTGGTCTCTCCCCTGGGTTACCTCTCCCCTCACACTCCTCACTGGTGTCCCATCGGCTGTGGACCTCTCCCTCTGTCCCCATCCCGGGGTATAAAAGTCCCCTGCCACCAGGGAACGCTCTCTTTCTCCCATGGCTTTGTCCACCTGCTGTGTCTCTTGGAATAAAGGAGAACATTTCCCACGTGGAGAAGAGCGCTTCTCAATCTTTCACCTCCATCTATGAATTATGGTGTGGGCAAGGGTCTATAGCTAGCCAGAGTGAACCCCCATGATATCTCATCACCCTGGCACAGGGAAGAGCAGGGCGCAGGGAGAGCCTTGCTCCCCTCTCAGCCCCATCAGTCCCCCCCAAAGAAGGGTGCTCGGGTGTGAGAAATGGATTTGTAATGGTAAAAATGTAGGTTATTAGTGTTAAAGGTATTAGCAGCGTTGTGTGGCAAAAGGTAACAGGCTGAAAAGGTTATAAAGTATTATAAAATGAAAAATTATAAAAATGTATCGTTTTTTATGAAGCATTATAACCATCTCTTATGTCTCACTCTTCATCGAGACTGATAATGGAATAAAATCTTTTCAAACGCCTCTCAGTTACGCTGTCTGTAAAAAGCTGAGAATAATCCAACACTTGGGGCCACTCAGGGAGATCCAGGGATTGTCAGGGCATCTCTAGGTGGGATTTGGATGGCTCAGATTAAGCCTAAGGGAGGTGCTGGGAGGTTGGGCAGTGCAGGAACCTCACTGGAGAAGGTACAAACTCAACCCCCTTCATCCCCAAGGCCTTGGAGAGGGGAATTCTGCTCCCTGTGGAGGAGCAGCAGGGGCTGAGCTCAGGTTTGGGCACCAAGAGCTTGGTTCCAGTGGGAAAATCAAGATCCAGGGCAGGGGGAAAGTGCCCAGCCCTGATGGATCCATCTCAGAAGTGATGGGATGTGCCTCCCCACAAGGCCTTTGGCTGCCTCTTGCTGGACTGATGGGGAGCAGAGAATTCCCAAGGCTGAGTCCATCCCATCCCAGTGGGATTGGCCATGTCCCTCCGCAGGCAGCAGACTCACCATCAAAGGCAGCCATGCTCTCCTCACTCTGCAGCTCCTGGTGGGTGACCAGAAGGGCCTGTCTGAACTTCAGGTTGGTTTCCCTGTGAGCAGGAGCCAGGGAAAGGAAAATAAAACAACCCTGTGGGGTGACAGAGCTGTTCATCCTCCTGTCAGGCCCACAGGACAGAGACAGGTCATTAATTATCAGCTAATTACACAAGTGGTGGCAGTGACATGCCAGAGAGGGACCTGTTGTGCCACACATGCAGGAAGAGCCCTGGCCCAGGGACCCTGCCCTTAAATCATCCTGCACAGGGAGGATGGGTGGGAGGGAGCTGGGAGATGGAGACACCAGCCTTAGGTGCCAGGGGCTCTGTAGGACCCACACCAGAGCTTCTGGACTTCCACTTTCAAAATTTGTGGGTTAAATCTGCATTTCCGGGGTGTCTGCAGGTTTGGGTTTTGGAGGTTCTCCCACATCCTGTGGTTTCCACTGAACCCTCCCAGCGCTGGGGGGTCCCCAAGACCAGGGTTTTTTAAGGTTTTCTGTTCTGTTTTGGTGTGCAGCTTTTAGCTTTATATTAAGGATATATATAGGGTATATGGTATATAGATAGATATAGATATATCTCCTATATATCCTATATATATCCTATATATCCTATATATATATAGGATATATATATATATATCTCCTATCTATATATCCTATATATAGGATATAGGATTTATACTAGGATCTTTTCACAGCATGGTGAAGACAAAACAATTCTATTCTAGCTGGAGACTCAGGGACAATCCCTTCAACCTTCAGGCCCAAAGCACAAACAACGTGAAAAGAGGAGGGCAGGCAAGCAAGCAAGGAGGATGAAACTTCATCATTTGAAGTTGTTAATTGGACAGTTAACTCCTGCATGCAAATGGACTAAAACTTACAAAAATGAGAAATCTTGTGACCAAGCCCTTTTTGCTTCCATCTTGGAGCCATCCAGGCAGAACCACAACTGTGGCTCTGGCACTGCCAGGGTGTGGCCTTGGAAGGCACGACAATAAATCCACTTTATTCCTCTGAACTCTGTCCAGCCTCTGTTCCAGCTCCTTAAGGCATCACCCCCACAGCCAGAGGGTCCCTGTCCCTGTCCCTGTCCCTGTCCCTGTCCCTGTCCCTGTCCCTGTCCCTGTCCCTGTCCCTGTCCCTGTCCCTGTCCCTGTCCCTGTCCCTGTCCCTGTCCCTGTCCCTGTCCCTGTCCCTGTCCCTTCCTGTCCTGTCCTCACCCATCAATGTCAGCGGTCTCCACGTAGCACAGGCTGCTGGGCTCGGAGCTGCACAGCAGGAGCAGGTCAGCCTTGAGGAGCAGAAAAGGGGGAGAGCAGCTGGGTGAGCCCCTGGTCACCGGTGTCCCCAGGGCACAGCCAGCTCTGGTCCCCCCTCACCGGGACGACGCTGTCCTTGCGCAGCCGCACGATGTCCCCGACGCAGATGTCGCGCCACTCCTGCCAGCAGAACCTGCGGGGGACGCAGGGGACAGCTTTGTGTCCCTGCAGAGCAGTGGGACTGGGGGCTGGGGCTGTTTCAGCCCCTGCCTGTCCCGAATTCCTGCAGGATTTGGGTCTCCAGGTTCTTGTGCCACCTCCAGAGGGCTGAGCACCGAGGGTGGCACAGGAGCCGTGTGTCACATCCATGTCCCTGTCCCCACACCCTGAGCACAGCTGGGAATAGCTCATCTTTCCCTGGAGCAGTGCTGGGCAGGGACACAGCTCCGTGGACTGGATCTAATGGCCTGGAGGAATTCTGTGGCCAAGGAAAGCCTCCCCCAGCATATCTCAGCAAACTGGGGCATTTTTAAACCCGCTGCCCATGCCTGGAACATCACCAATCCTACAGGAGGACCGGTGGCAGGTTTTGGGAGGTGGCAGGAGCTTGCAGAGCCCAGGACAGTCCCACCAAGCCCCTCCTCAGCTGCTCAAGGGCTCTCACTCCAGCTGCTCCATGGCGTTCCGGGGTGTGGCACAGCCCCCCGAGCCCCTCACCTCCTGCCAGCCAGGATCTCACAGGGCCTGCTGTTGATGCTCCTGTCACTGCGGTGACGGCCCTGCACAGGACAGACAGAGAGGCCAGGGCATGGGAACGGGAATGCCAGGCTGTGGTGTTCCACAGAAACACCCCCCTGATGCCACCACCTCCCTCCTCACTCCAGAGCTGTGTTCCGAGCCATGGGAAGGTTTGTTCTGGTGAATAAATGGGCTGAATTCCCCCCAGGTGTTTCTGGACACCCAGCTGGCACTCCAGCCCGTGGTCAAGCTATTAAAGGTGACAGAAATGAGGGTTTGGACCCCAAGGGAAGCGGCCAGGGGGTCACATCTTTCCCGAGGGAAAACAAAACCACGTGTGGATGTGGTGGAGGAGGTGATCCCTCAGGACTGAGGGGTGGCAGCAGCCCCTGAGCCCAGCTCTGAGCAAAGGGCCCCTCCCTGCCCATGTCCCCAGGGCCACCCCCACTCACAATGTCATCGATGAGGTCTCGCAGCCCCCGGATGATGAGGAGGCAGCTCAGGGGGAAGAGCAGAGTGTACCAGGGCAGCGTGGAGATCTCGGGGAAAGTCTGGAGAACGAGGATTGTACAGCACTGACACAGCTCCTGTCCCACCCTGGGGCACTTGAGGTGACTCCCTGGCTCCCAAACCAGCGCCCGAGGGTGGCAGGAACCCATCTCAGCATCACCAAATCAACATCTCTGCTACAGACACCTCTTTTGCTGGGTTTTCACCTCTTTTTGAGGTGTGAAATGCTCCTGGGTCTCTGACTTTGGAGGGATGAATTTCTGTTTTGGTGTGATCAATGTGACCTTCACCTCCATGCAGACCCAAACAATTTTATAGAATCAAGGAAAGATTTGGGTTGGGAGGGACCTTGCAGCCCATCCAGTGCCACCCCTGCCATGGCAGGGACACCTTCCACTGTCCCAGGCTGCTCCAAGCCCTGTCCAGCCTGGCCTTGGGCACTGCCAGGGATCCAGGGGCAGCCACAGCTGCTCTGGGCACCCTGTGCCAGCACCTGCCCACCCTGCTAGGGAACAATTCCAGGGAACAATCCCATCCATCCCTGTGTCCTGTCCCTCCAGGCCTTGTCCCCAGTCCCTCTGCAGCTCTCCTGGAGCCCCTTCAGGCCCTGCAAGGGGCTCTGAGCTCTCCCTGGAGCCTTCTCTTGTCCAGGTGAGCACCCCCAGCTCTGCCAGCCTGGCTCCATGGCAGAGGGGCTCCAGGGTTAGAAGTTAAACTAAAGCACAGAGGGGAAAGGAGAAGAAGAAAGAGAACTGAAAGAAGAAATCAAAAATTTGGAGGAGAGAAATAAAACCAGAAGAGGGGCTCCCAGCTGGAGGCCTGGAGCATCTCTGGCCTGGCTCCAGCAGCCACACGTCCTCCTGCTGCTGGGAGGCTTTAATTTAAATTAACCCCACTGAACGGGGCTTCAACCCCTCAGCGCTCCTCACAGACAGCCGGGAGCACAGAAAAGCTCCCGGGGAACCTTTCAGGCCGAATTCCCTGCCATTTTCCCTGCAGAGAGCCCTCCCTGGCACACAGCCGGGGTGCCCGGCCCACCTGCAGGAGGATGACGAAGACGAAGTAGACGTTGGCCATGCGATGGAACTGCTCGTAGAGGTTCAGGGGCAGGAAGGTGAGCACGTTGTACTTGGCTGTCCTGATGGCATTGCCCTGCGGGACAGGGGCACGGGGATCAGGGACACGCTCTGCCGTGCCAGAACATTCTGCTCTTCTGAGGATCCCCACAGCACAAGAGACGCCTTAAAAAGTTATCAAGGCCGTGAGGGAAAATGTGGATTTCTAAAATAATAATAACAATAGTAATAATAGTAATAATAGTAATAATAGTAATAATAGTTATTATTATTATTATTATTATTATTATTACTACAATAATAATTATTATAATAATATAAATATAAATATAAATAAATATAAAATAAATAAAAATAAATAAATATAATATAAATAAAATAAATATAAATAATAATTATTATTAATATTAATGTTGATATTGATATTGATATTGATATTGATATCATCATCAACATAAGTATTATCACAATTATCATTATTATTATAATCCATAAATCACATATTAAATATTTATTATTAATACACTTTGTTCATTATTTACTATTATTTTTAATTTCTATTATTTCCATTATATAATTTATTAATTTTTATTACTTATAATTTAATTTATTAATAATAAATATTATTTTAATGAAAATCTTTTAAAATATTTTATTTTAATAATATTGTATATTTTATATTATTAGTAATACCTTTAAATTGAAATATATTATTTTATTTTATATTATTTTATTTTAATAATATAATATTGTATATATTCATTATTAATTTTTATTATTATTTCATATGTTTTTATTTTAATATTTTATTATTACATTATTTCTATATTATATTTATTTATAATTAATTTTATTGTTATTTTTTATATATTTTAAGTTTTAATATATAATTTTATTTTAATATTATTTTAAATTTTAATATTATTGTTTTAAAAATATGCTATTTTAATAATTTTTTTGTCCCTCACATGGGGCACCACTAATGTTGAGTTTTTATTTTCTTTTCCTGTTTTGGTTAGCGTTGGGATTGAAAGTGTTTGAGATGGTATTTTGTGTTCAGATTTCAATGTTCATTATTTTTGATCTATAGTTTTACAAGCTCTGAGTTTTAGTATTTTACTAACAAGGTACAAATGGCTTTGTATCTATTTTTATAAGGTTTTTTAAAGAAAAACTATTTAATTAAGAAATTACAAATTATTTTTACTTCTAACTTAATAAATAATTACTTATGTCTTTAATGTGGACTTTAATTATAAAATACAACCTAAACTTATGAAGAAGAAGGTGAAGAAGGATTAGTTTTTGCTTTAAAATTTTCATTTTGTTTTATATATATTACTATATTTTAAAACTTTAAACTAACTTTTCTACTATTAAACACTTAATTAAACTACACACTTATAATTTTAATTTTATTATTTAACTTTGGAAGCCTTTTTATGGCTTTAGGTTAAATGTAGTGGTTTTGGGGGTTTAATGTTTGTGTGCACAGAAAGTTTAAAATTCTCAGCATTTAAGGTCTGACAGGAAAACAGGAATTTGTCAGATCCGAGGGCAGCTTAAAATTCAGAACAAAACCGTTTGCTGCTGGGTTTGTTCCCCATGTGGGCCACTCAGCAAGAGTTGGGCTCTTGGATTCCTGTGGGTCCCTTCCAGCTCAGAATATTCCGTGATTCTGACCCTGATCTAAAGCCCAGCTCACTGACCTCCATGTTATTTAGCTGAAAAAAATATTTTAAAAGAGTAAAATAAAATAAAATAAAATATTTTTTTAAATTTTAAAAATAAGATAAAATAAAAATAATAAAAATAAGATAATAAAAATAAAATAAGATAAAATGAAATGAAATAAACTAAACTAAACTAAAATAAAAGTAAAATAAAATGAAGGGAAGGGAAGGGAAGGGAAGGCAAGGCAAGGCAAGGCAAGGCAAGGCAAGGCAAGGCAAGGCAAGGCAAGGCAAGGCAAGGCAAGGCAAGGCAAGGCAAGGCAAGGCAAGGCAAGGCAAGGCAAGGCAAGGCAAGGCAAGGCAAGGCAAGGCAAGGCAAGGCAAGGCAAGGCAAGGCAAGGCAAGGCTCCCCAGGGCACCCTGGCTCACCGAGTATTTCCTCTTGCTCAGGCAGAAGGCGAATCTCTTCCTGACCTGCCTGTGGTAGCTGCGGTCGTTGGCCCTCACCTCCCAGGTGAACGCTGGAAAACCAAGGGGACATCCCCAGCTCCAGGGGAGCCAGGCCAGCCACAGGGAGCAGGGGTGGCCGCTGCTGGGGTGGCTTCCCAGGGCACGGGACCTTGAGAGCTGCAGGCACAGCTGGGTCTCAGGGTCCGTGACAGGGGACAGAACATTCCAGAGCTGCAGGAGTGCTGCCCACGCCTCCCCCGAGCCTCAGGGTCGCCCCTTGGGCTCAGGCTTTGGCTCACAGCGGGCTCAGGCCCTGCAGGGTGAGCCCCCAGCCTTTGGGTTCTGCTCGTTCCTCTCCCAGCTCCGTTTTTGCCATCCCAGTGCAGACCCTGCAAGCAGGGAGCATCCCAGCCCTGCTCCCAGCACCTGCCCCTGCTCACCCCAGATCTTCTTCCCCATTCCACACCCGTGTCCCACACTCAGCTTCCTCATAAACCATCTGAAAGCAGGGAAAATCCCCAAACCACACCCTTGTCACACTGACCTGGCAGCTGCTGCTTCCCACGTGGGCAGCCTGCGGCCGGGTCCTGCTCAGCCATGCTGGCACCGCTGCCAGGCCCTGGGGACAAGGACAGCCACAGGGCTGTGAAACTGAGCAAGGACAGCGGGGTCCAGCTGGGATGCTCCGGCTCCATCTCCCCGAGGCTCCAGGACAGGAATGTCCCCTGGGAGGGACGTTCTCCCATCAGCCTTCGCCCATCCCAGCTCCCTGTGACAGCTCCAAGACATTTTTGCCCTCTGGGGAAGTTACAGGAATCACTGAAGTCCTTGGTGAGGAGCTGGAGCTCTCCCTGGCCTGCCACCCCAGCCCAGCTCCATCGTGCTGGGGGAGCAGCCACCTCCATCAATGACAAGATTTCCCTCATGCTTGGTGGCCCCGTGGCCTTCCTGCAGGGATGGTAGGGAAGATTAATTAATGTTTGTGAAGAGCTTTGTGATCCTCACATGAAAGGAGGCAGTGAGGGATAAAGCATTAATTACCTTATTATTAAATAATCCCACCAGAAGTCAGCCCCTGCCCTGATTTCTTATCTCACTCCTTTGATCACATTTCCATTCTTTTACCCAAAGTATGAACTTCCCTCTTGCTCCTCGTGGGTATTGGTTTGTTCCAACACCTCACAGATGCCACTGGCTGGGCATCCTCATTCCAGGTCAAAGACATTCAAACACCTGCAGACAAGAGCTTGCCCAGAAGAAGCTTTGACCCACAAAATCCTCCTTTACCACCCAGGACTTGGTGCTGTCCCTGTCCTTGGATCCTAAATGACACCCCTGAGCTCAGCACACACAATCCCAGAATGGTTTGGGTGGGGAGGGATCTTAAAGCTCATCCAACTCCACTCCCTGGCGTGGGACACCTTCCACCATCCCAGGGTGCTCCAAACCCAGCCTGGCCTGGGACACTCCCAGGGATCCAGGGGCAGCCCCAGATGTTGCTTTCTTTGTTTTCACAAAGAAAAAGGAGGAAGGAAGGGTGTCAGGGAGCTGCTGGGGGGGTGGGACACTCCCAAAGGCTCCGACTCCCATTTGTCCCACAGGCGAGGGGCAGCAGGAAGAGCAGGTGGACACCTGCAGGGATGGGATCTCTCCCACACAGAAATCCCTCAGAAGCCCCTCGGTGCTCAGACTGGCTGTGACCGCTGAGTTTAGGCAAAGTAGGATTGACACAGAGCAATGCCAGCCTCCCCTTCCTCCCTGCTGTGCCCCCTCGTGTCCTTGTCCTGGGGGCTGCCAGCTGGGCACAGCTCCCTGCAGACACACAGGTCTGATCCCAGGGACAAAGGAGGACAAAAACACCCTCACAGCTCTCCATGTAACTCCTCAACACGACAGTTCCACAGAAATAACGGCAGCAGAACTCACCAAAAGGCCACGGTTAAAGTGTGGAAAATGTGGACATAAAACAAAATATTGCCCAGAGTCTGTGGAAAAAGTGGCAGCGCCGAATCTGCCCAAGGTGCAGAAAAAGGAGACACTTTGCAAATCAGTGCTATTCCAAATGTGACACAGATGGAAATCTTTTACTGTGAAAAGCGTTTCACAGACAGTGAAACCACTGTGCAAGGATACAAGTGTTAGTGATGATTCAAGTACCCAAAATGTCTCTGAAGACAGAGCATTTGGGGAACTTCAATCAGGTCTTATCTGCAGGGTCATCAGCTGATCCCCAATGACTCAGAGTTTTGGGGATTGCTGGCAGTGAGCTTGTAGCCTCTGTATTTCTGTTTTCTATAGGTAACATTAATAAATAGTGACTGCTGTTAATATTGCATAAATGTTTAAAAAATATCATCTTAACTCTTCAAACACTCGCTGCTAATATATTGATTGTATAACGTGGATCACTGATTTTTGTGATAAGAATTATTTATAAGGCATTGTTATAGTATTTACATCTGGCTTTCATATGTTTTACTGTCTCTTTGTGTGCAAAGGGACAAAGGAGGGACAGCAGAGCCTCCGTCCCCTGCTCCTGGCAAGCACTGCCCTCTCTCCTCCTGCCAGGGATGGACTCCCCTGGCACTGGGATGTGGGGGATCCCCTCAGAGACCATAAACAGGCCAAGGAACACTGGCCCAGGGGAGGCAGCTGCTCCACAGGGAAAATCCTACAGGAGACAAGACAAACCTAGGGGATGGAGAACACTGAGTCAGCTGCTCACAAACCCTGATCCCACCCCTGGCAGTGCCCAAGGCCAGGCTGGGCAGGGCTGGGAGCAGCCTGGGACAGTGGGAGGTGTCCCTGCCATGGCAGGGGTGGCACTGGATGGGCTTTAAGGTCCTTCCCAACCCATTCTAAGGTCCCAACCAGGGGTGGCACCCAGGGCAAGCCCTGAGCCTCAGCTTCAGCCAAGCTCCCCAGGTTCAGGTGGGGAAGTCCAGAGCCAGGACTGCAAAGGGGACAAAGGCTAAGGTGGGACACAGCCCATCCACTGGGGTGAGACAGCTCCAAGGCCAAGCTGCAGCCAGACCCACCTTGGGGGCTTGGTCAAGATCTGAGCCCTGGCTGAGCTTCCCGAGCCCAGGGTGATGGGTGGGGGGTCCCAGGGGGCTGCTCAGGGCCAGAAACCCTGGTTGTGCCCTCGGGGCTCTGATCAGTGGCTCAAAGCATCCCCTGCCCTCCCTCCTCGCTCCAGGACACCGATATTTAGGGTGAGGCTGATGGTGAGAAATGCCAAGGCGTTTTCCTGGGCTCTCTGCTTCCAGACCAGCCTGCCCTGAGTTCCACACTGGAATTCCGGGGTTTGTTTGTGGTTATCCTGGTCCCCTCATGCTCAGGATCAGGCCTGAAGCTGCTGATCCATCATGTCCCCACCGTGCTGGCATCTCTGAGCCCCTCTGTGCCCGGTCAGGATCACCAGGATGCCCAACCAGGCTCCACTCAGCAGCTCCAAGCATCCCTGTGTCCCAAACAAAAGCACAGCTTGTTCAGCACCTGCAGCTGGCACAGGCAGGACACTCCATGGGGCTGAGTGCCCAAGGAGGTATCCAAGAAATCTCGGTTCCAAGAAAGCTCTTGACAAACGTCACTCACCAGCTCAGTAATTAGAGATAAAAACTGCGCTTTGGGGAGGCGGGAACAGGCTGGAATCGGTGCCAGGGCTCCCTGCCAGCCCCAGCCACACCGGGGACAGCCTGGACAGCCGAACCCTGCTCTGGCCCCAGCCCGGGGCTCCCTGGGGGGCCAGGGAGCGCTAGCGATGGCAAGGGCACAGGACATGCCGTGCCCGCTGCCCCACACCTCAGCGAGCCCAGCAGTGCGTTCTTACCCCAGGGGATGTTCCCAAAATCCCCCCCTGGGATGGAGCCGCGTTCTGCCCGGCCCCGCGGGCCTGTCCCATCCCGGGAGTGTTCTTAAAGCATCCCCGCGCTGCTGCCGGGGCTAAGGAGCCCCAAAGCAGAGTTTTCTCACCCCAGAAGAGCCGCCCCGGGCTCCCGCAGGTTCGCGGGGCTGAGCAGAGCCCGGCTTGAGGGAGCGCCGGGCACGGCGCCACCGGGGCTCGGCGCAGGCTGCTGAAACCCGCCGAGATTTATGTCCCTGCCTGCTCCGAGCGCTGCCACGGGAATTCTGAGGAGGTTTTGTTCCTGAAATCACCGGCTCAGCGCCGAGCTCCGTGCAGGAGCTGTGTGAGAGCGCTGGGAGCGCCCGGCCGGGCAGTGCCCACAGCTGGGGGTTCGCGGTGCCCTCTGTGCCCTCCTGCTCCTTCCCACGCAGAAACCGGAGGCGACAGGACCAGCCTTGGTCCCTTCCCGGGCTGGCACACGGCCCCGTCACCCCTCCCGCGGGTGCTGCTGTTGTTTTTCTGACCCCAGTGTCCCACTGGGACCGCAGCCAGAGCCACCCCGGGGTGTCCCCACCGCCAGCTCCGCTCCGGCATCGCCCCCGGCCCGGCCCGTGTCACCCATCACGACAGGCGACAGTGACAGCGGCCCGGGCCGGGCTGAGCGGGTGGGTGGCTGTCACCTCCCGGCCCCGGCACGCCGGAAACGCCCCCGCGCTCGGCCGGGCGGATCATCAGAGCCTCTCCGGGGTTATTTCCCCAGCTCCCAGGACGTGCCCGAGCCGTGAGTTTCCCTCCGCTCGCCCCATTTTCCAGCCGCTTGGATGTGGTTTGGGGTGCAAAGGCGGCTCCGCCGTCCCCAAACGCTGCTCCGTGCCCGGCGGCATCGGCCGGGGGCTGCCCCGGCACCCCGCTCCTCCCGGGGAGAGATGGGGCTCCCCCGCGACCCCAGGGACCTGCCAGCCGTGTCCCCCCGCTGTCCGGGCCCTGGATGTCACCGTGCCACGCTCCCCTCGGGGTCCCCGTACCTGCCCCGATGCCACCGCGCTCCTGCGGCTCCGCCGCCACCGGGACTGCTGCCACCGTGCTGCCACTGTCCTGCCACCGTGCTGCCACCTTCCTGCCACCCCTGCTGCCACCGTGCTGCCACCGTCCTGCCCCACGCGGGACCTGGGGACAGCCCATGCCACACCCCCGCGGGCCCTGCCCGCCTCCCCCGCTGCCCTCCCTGCCCGGGTTTATTGTCCCGTTCAAACCGAGCCGAGCCGCGCTCCCGTGGGCCTGTCCGGGCTCCGGGACTCGGTGACACGGTCCGGGTGTCCCTGCCACCGTCCCAGTGGAGAGGCGGGTGGATCCCAGGGCAGGCTGGGCACGGGGCGGGTTTGGGCAGCCCCGGGGCTGGACTGGTGTCGCTGGGGTTCCCCGGTCCCCCCCGAGCCCCCCGGGTGTGGCAGCAGCTCGGGGGGGCTGGGCCGTGCCCTGGGCACCGAGGAAGGAGGGAGGAGGGGACAGAGAGGAAGAGGAGGCCGAAGGCACAAAGGAGCCACTCCGGGCACCGCGACTGCGAGCCCAGCTGGGGACAGAGGCCACCTCGTTAGTGACGGCAGCTAATGAGGCCAGAGCCGGTGTCCGCCCCGCTCTCATCCTGCACACCCGCAGTGGTCCCGCCATCGCCGTCATCACGTTAATTACTGCCTGCAATTAACGCGGGGACCCGGAGGCGATCACCCAGCGCCAGCCCCGCAGCCCATAAAGCATTTAGTGCACAGCCGGGAGCGGCTCCTGCTCTGTCCCTGTGTCCCCACGTCCCCATTGGTGTCCCCACACATGTCCCTGTGTCCCTGTCCCCTCATCCACATGTGCAACCTTGTACACGAACTTTGCAATGTCAAAATAACAGTCCTAAACAAAACAACAACCCTCCTGAACGTTTGACCGAAAATTTGAGTAAAAATTTAGAAGCCCCAACTCCAAACCAAAAAACTGTTATATGAATGGCTTACATCATTACTGAACATACTCCCTTAAAACAAAATAACAGCACCCTACAAAGAGTTTCTATTCAACAAAATAACAACCCTCCATGCCAAGCATGCACAGCACCACAAACACGATTTTATAACCATCAAAACTACCAACTTCCCACTACAGCAGCCCCTCTAACCACTTCTGTTATTACAAAGAAAAAGAAATAAAAAAGCTTCTATACAGAAACACAAACAAAAAACCCAAATCTACAGCAAACAACTCACACATGTCCCCATGTCCCCATATGTGTCCTCATGGGCCTGTGTCCCCATACTTGTTCCCACACATCCCCTTGTTCCCACACATATCCCCATGTCCCTGTGTCCCTATACATGTCCCGATGTCCCCACATGTGTCCCTCCCTCCCTCCCTCCGTCCCTCGGGCTGGGTTTGGAGCAAGGACAGGGACTTCCAGGTCCCACTCCTGTGTCCCGGCAGGCCACCGGGCGGGTGGCTTTGGGCACCCGGGAACGAGAACGGCCGAGGTCACCCTGGCAACAGAGGCCAGTGAAGATGACATTTTCCCAATCAATCGCCCTGTGCAATTAGCGGGCACCCCCCCTCCCTTCCAGTGTAATTAAGTGAGCGCCGGGAGGCCGGGGCAGAGGGTGTCCCTGGGGCGCCGCGGTGGCTGTCCTGGTGTGTCCCCTCCCCAGGCACAGCAGGGTTTGTCCCCGTGTGTCCCCTCCCCAGGCACAGCAGGGTTTGTCCCCGTGTGTCCCCTCCCCAGGCACCGCGGGGTTTGTCCCCGTGTGTCCCCCCCGGGAGCTGCCCCTGGCAGCCCCTGCGCTCCCAGGGAAGGGTTAAACCTCCGGGCCAGGCTTTCCCCTCTCCTCGAGCCGCTCCAGGTGCCCCGTTCCGAGCGGCCGAGCGGCTACAAAGCCCCGTTTGTTCGGAAATACTAATGTAATACTAATACTAATGCTAATACTAATACTAATACTAATTTAGGAGCGTTTCCCTGCGGGACAGGGGTTGTTCCCCAGCCTGAGGGCAGCCCCAGGAGCATCCCCCGACCTCCAGCCGCCACCTCCTGCGCTCCCATTCGTGTCCCAAACTGCCCGAAGGTGGTGCCCGGAGTGAGAGATGCCCTCAGCACGCAGAACCTGCTTCCAACGCCCAAAACCTGCCCTCACTCCCCTCCCAAAACCTGCACCACAGCGGCTGCTGCCCTCCTTCCTGCTCCTTCCACCCTCCTCTTCCTCTTCCTCTGTCCCCAGCCACCCCACAGCCACCCCAGCCAGGGGACAGCTCCAGGGGGGACAGGGCTGGTCGCTGTGCTGACCCCGTTTCTTGCCCACCACCAGCCCCTGCTCCCCAGGGTGGGCAGTTCTCCTCTCCCTGGTGGCTGGAGGCTGCAGAAGGACCCCGGTCCCTGAGGTGACACAGGTGTCACTCAGCAACAGGGACCCCAGTGCCTGGGGAGCCCCCCAGCCCCCCTGCCCTGCACTTTGGGCACAGGGCCACCCCTGGTGGGAGCACGGGCACCCCGCGCTGGCACCCGGGAGAGCCCAGGGCAAAGAGCAGTGGCCGAGGTGCCCGGGCTCAGCACCACGGCCAAGGACCAGCCCTGGGCCCAGCCGAGAGAAGTCTGGAGTGAGGAGGAGAGCAGAGCCAGCCCTGAGGGGCTGCCCTGAGGTCCTTGTCCCCACGGGCTGTGGCAGAGGGGTGTCACTCACTGATGTCACCAGTGAGGAGCTGTCCTGCCTGCGCACACAGCCGTGGGACACGGGAGGGACTCACCCCTGCCTGGGCCCAGCACTCCCCGTGCTGGAGGGGCTGGACAAAATGTGCTGAAAATCTCTTTAAGGAGAGGATCGATGAGATGGTCACCTTTGAGCTGTGCCAGGTGGCTCAGGGGCAGGGAGTGACACACAGACACCAGTGGATGTCCCTTGCTGGGGGAAATGCTGCAGGACAAGTTTGAGAAGGACCTTGGGATGCTTGAGTGCATCTGGAGGAGGCAACGAGGCTGGAGAGGGGCTGGGAACACAAGCCCTGAGAGGAACCACTGAGGGAGCTGGGGGTGCTCAGCCTGGAGAAAAGGAGACTCAGGGATGACCTTATCACTCTGGAGAAAAGGAGACTCAGGGATGTCCTCATTGCTCTCTACAGCTCCTGGAAGGTGGCCGTGCTCAGCTGGGTTGGGCTCTTTCTCCAGGCAGCACTGACAGAACCAGAAGACACAGCCTCAAACTGTACCAAGTGAAATTCAGGTTGGATATTAGGAAAAAAATATAGGTTGGATATAGGAAGAAGTTTTTCACAGAAAGGGCAATACAGTTCTGCAATGGCTGCCCGGGGAGGTGCTGCAGTCACCATCCCTAGGTGTGTTTGCTGCAGTCACCATCCCTGGGTGTGTTTAACAAAGCCTGGATGTGGCACTGGGGGCCAGGGTTTAGTTGAGGTGTTGGGGCTGGGCTGGACTTGATGATCTTGAAGGTCTCTTCCACCCCAGTGATTCTGTGAATTCTGTGATTCTATTCTGTGAAATCTGTGATTCTGTGATTCTGTGAATTCTGTGATTCTATTCTGTGAAATCTGTGATTCTGTGATTCTGTGAATTCTGTGATTCTATGTTTCTGTGATTCTGTGGCAAGGCAGGTCCTGTTGCCAATCCTGGAGCCCTGCAGCCAGGGCTGGGTGTACTGAGTGCTCGCTCTCAGCTGAAGGAGGGATGTGCAATGACCCTGAGCATCCCACGGGCCCCAGGCTGCCCAGAACCTCCTCCCCTGTGAGGGAGCAGCTTTGGGGCCAAAGCTGCTTTGATTCAGGTTTGGGATATCCCTCCATCCTTGGGAAGGAAAGGGTGGGGGCAGGGGCAGGGAAAGCCAGGCAGGGCCCTCCTCCAGGGCTGGGACACTGACAGGTCTGTCAGGGACCCTGTGGGGCCCTGGAGCTCTCAGGACCAGACCAGCAGCACCAATTCACTGGCAGAGCTCAGACTGGGGCCAGAGGTGACTTCCATGGGTATGGACACAGCATGGAATCAGGAGCTGCCCCCCTGTGAGGGGGACAAAGTGGGAGGATTTGTGACCCACCAGCACCTCTGAGCTCACCCCTCTCCTCTTGCTGGGGTGGAAATGGAGCCTTTTCCCCAGCAAGCTGCTCCCTTTCATCTCCTGGGTTTCAGCTGATCCCAGAGGGTTTTGGGAAGAGGAAGGAATGGGGTTCTGGGGTTCTCTCTGCTCCTTTGCTTCCCCCAGTTCAGCTGCAGCATCCGAGCACCAAGGTGGGGATGGGCAGTGCCAAGCCCTGGAGCCACGCTCAGAGCCAGAGGCAAAGCCACCCAAAAGGGGCAAAGGCTTCAGAGAGCAAGAAAATCCCTTCTGCTGGTGATGCCCAACTCTGGCAGTGCCCTGGGAGACAAGATCTTCCAGGGAAAAACAGGAGAGACACACACTTGAGACAGATCCTGAGCATGCTTTGGTGTCATCGAACCCCAGAGTGGTTTGGGTTGGGAAGGGACTTAAAGCCCACCCAGTGCCACCCCTGCCATGGCAGGGACACCTCCCACTGTCGCAGGCTGCTCCAAGCCCTGTCCAGCCTGGCTTTGTGTCCTCCTGTCCCTCCACGTGCCTGGGGCTGGGTGAGTGCTGCTCCCTTGGGACAAGGGCTCTTATAACCCTGCAAATCCTGCCTACCTCCACCCTCACCCTGGAGGAGGGTCGAAGGATCGGCTGCACCCCCCAGACCCCAAAAGAGAGAAAAAAAAAAAAAAAAAAAAGGAGAAAAAGAAGCAAAATGTTTTTTCACTGCAGGGGTTCCCTGGTGTCACCTCGGGCCATCAGGTGAGCTGCAAGGGGGAGCAAAGGGACCCTCGGGGATGGGGAGGTCACTGCCGGAGCAGGCAGTGCCACAACAGCCCCCGGGGGTGGCTGAGAACGCGAGCCAGGCGTGACTTTCGCAGCCTCCGGAGCAGCCGCTGCCATCGCCGAGCCATCAGCCGCGCGTTAAATAAAACACATTGCCTGTGAGGTCATCTAATGGCCCATTATTTTTTTATTTGAACTTTTTACCTTCACCTCTTCCTCCGTGCTGAATCAGCTCCTTGGCTTGGCACTTTCATTCCTGCCCCATTTGGGAGATTGATTGGGGCTCGGGGGGAGCCTGGCAGGGCTGGGGATGAGGCTCGGGATGGGGCAGGAGGAGCCGGGATGTGCCCGGGCAGCCTCGGGCTGCGGGGTTTGCACAGAGCCGGGGTCCGGCCGCTGCCCCCCGGCCCCGTTCGGTCCAGAGCGCTGGCATCGGGTGCTGTCCAACAGGAGGGGCACCGATTTCATCCCTTTTCCTCGGGCTCATCCCGGCGGGAGGGATGTCCTGCAGGGGCAGGGAGCAGCGGGAGCCGGGGGAGGCCGGGCTGGGCTGCAGAGCCGGCCGGGGGCACTCACAGGAGTGACTCACAGAACCAGAGCACACAGCCTCAAGCTGCACCAAGGGAAATTCAGGTTGGGTATTAGGAAGAAGTTTTTCACAGAAAGGGTGATACAGTTCTGGAATGGCTGCCCGGGGAGGTGGTGCAGTCACCATCCCTGGGTGTGTTTAACAAAGCCTGGATGTGGCACTGGGGGCCAGGGTTGAGTTGAGGTGTTGGGGCTGGGCTGGACTCGATGAGCTCGAAGGTCTCTCCCAACCCAGCGATT